TCCTTGCAATTCAGAATGTCAAAATTTCACCGCCGACTTAATACAGTGGTGGAGGGTGAGTTTCACTTAGTAGAACCGTTGTTTGGAATGTGGAGGCTGTGTTGCTTTTTGAGTAGCGAATGTTTGATATGCGGTGTGCGCAGTCCTGATTCTGGCAGTCCTCCCGGAGCACTATATTAAATGTTTTGCTTTTACGTAACACGTGGATTATCGCCTGGTGAGTATTTCGCGTGAGATAAATAATTAATAAAGTATGAATCTACAAAGCGCCACACGTGCCACAGAATACACAAAACTGCTTCCCGGGGGAACTCGCACCGTGCTTTAGCTGATTAGCACAAAGATAATAAAAAAAAAATTGTTTCACGAAAAGAAAAAAAAGAAAAAGGCGATTCTCGGTCAGCAGAAAGTCTACGTATAGAGGATTACGAAGTTGCGTTTTGAATCCTGGCCACTGGTAACTTCAGTGGCGAGTGATATTTGAACGTTTTGGCGGTACACCAGTGGTGAGCGGTATATAAAAAAAGCATTTTTTTCTTCCTTACGATTCGCAACCCCGGTCAGAAAATCTTGCGGGGTGGTGAGCGTCAAAATCATTTCTCGCGATGTCGGAGCAGTGACGAATGTCAGTTCAAATTTTGATTTCAGACTGTCTTATGAGGACCGGTGTGTTATGCTGCACCGGTGTACCCGCCGATACGTCCATGTGTTACTGGTACTAGACCACGCCCTTTGACTAACTCGCATTGACCGGCTTGGTGAAGTATAGTCGACCAGCTTGGTGATGTCGGGTCAAATAACTATCACGTCTGACGTGCACTTGGGGATGCATTCTTCCAGGAGTGGATCGACAAAGGGCAGTAAATAAACAAATGTAGATGACCCGGAGATAACCTATTGCTGTGCAATGGAAAATATAATCAGACTCAGAATGTTTATTTTGTGGAGGAATCCGATGAGCTATAAAGCTCTTTTTCACAGATGTCCAGTAGGGGCAGGTCAGAACGTTACAACAGCAAACATTAACATGGCACGCTTATATCTATTGCGAAGTTTTTATTTCTATCCTCTAGGAATTAAAGAATATTCTGGTGAACGATTTGCATAAATAGGAGCACAGATTTAAAAGTTAGAAATATGTTAGATGAACAATGTCAGTCTTCTGTATTGGTTACTCCCGTCTCTCCGTTGTCACTATCTAGTATATTCTCATTATATGCCTATCGCTCTTTCACCATTAATTCAATCCATTCATCATCATTTACTGTCATCAGTTTCGCGTTCACCAAAGTCACGCATCATGACAGATTTGCCCCCATCACTTCCTCTCATTTATGTTATCCACCTCTTCATATGTAAATTTCCTGTAAAGCGCCTTAACCAGTGGCTACACATACATTTCGTTAAGGTAAGATAAATCTTGACTTAAAGTTTTCGTGACTGCAATAATTCATATTCTTTGGGTCTTTCGGTAAAGCCACGTAGCTTTACCGAAAGACCCAAATAATATAAGACAAGATACGTCTGTCAAACTTCTTCCGCATTTCCAGGTCAACGGAAACTCCCGTGTAGCCAGTTACCCAGCTAGTTTCTGTGACAAGGGCCCACAGCAGCCACTAACAACAACAACGGAGTTACTCTTGGGGTGGACTAGAGCACAGCCAGCAGCTAGCCAGGAAACGCGAGGCACAGATTATTTTAATCGTCGCATGACAGAACATTTTCCGTTCATCACTTTTGAACTGCTTTCAGAAGTGACCACTGTTGCTTGGAATTGTGTCATGTGGTTACATAGCAAAGCCCTTTACGAATTCACTATTTTAAGAAATATATTTTTCTTTTTACCAGGTAAGGCCCACTGAGCTTTTTTTCAGAAGCGACCTGGCCATCGTGAATTGTAGCAGCAGCTAAATACTATAAACGCAATTATTTTTCGAAATGTGTAGGTAAAAAAACTGAGAAAAATCCACGCAACCACGGTGAGAGAGACACGCAAACTCCAAATGTACAGCAGCAGGCGTCAGTGTCTGGATCGAACCCACGATCTCCTCCGTGCCAGGCGAGGCAGTTAAGGTCTCGCCACCGTGGCACCAGCGAATGTGATCGTGACTCGACGGGAGGTCACATAGTGGGCTCCCTGTGGCATAGGTCCGCTGCAGCTATGATTTTCACGGCATCATTTCCGTGCAGCTGCGCTTAGCCAAGCGCACGGCCACGGGTCCGGCAGTGTGGTCAGCAAAGTTGACGCGAGCGTTCGCCAATCGGTGTGGGTGACTTTGCCCGCCGGCCCCTGGTCTTGGCATCACAGCTGCAAAACAGCTGCCGGCCGGCTCGCTCGTGTGAAACGCAAGCCGGATCAAAACGGTGGACTGTGATGAATGTCGCGGTTGAAAATATCATTTGCGTACAAATGCGGCATCGTAGTTAAAGATACTTTTAGGGCGCAGCAGGTTGTCACGTTGCCCGATAAGACCCACGTTTAACCGTCGAGATGTGAGCGCGAGCAACGGTGTTTGTTCCCGTGGGACCCTCTTGAAGGCGCCTTACATTGTGTGGGGTTACGGGCGAAATGTCTGGCACGCCGCAGCCAATGCATGAATTGTTTCATTAATTGATGGCATACTATTTGATATCCTCAATAGATGCGTTAATAATTGCACTTGTACGTACAGTCATTTACGCCGAACAAAATACATGTAGCGAACGTTTCCTCGCGAAATAAGAATCAGGTTAATGCTTACGATGTCACGATGTTACGCCACTTGGCGACAACAAAACTTCACCGCTGGACAATTTCATTCGAGTCACTGGCCACCATCACTCTTCTCGTAGACTGACACACGTGGACTGACAGCAGGGCACCACCTTCCAGAGAGGGCACTGCGCAGCTTGATTAGCGCATGAAGGGCTTTGCCGACGGAGTAATTGAAGCTCTAAAGCGTTCCGTCGATTTACTTTCAGTGGGCTTTACCCGAACTCCGGCGTACTGCTGATCCGGCTTTCAGAGGTGTCACCGTACGTTATTAAATCGCATAATTAAATCACATTGCGTAATTATATTTAATGATGTTACTCTTTTTACGATTCAACTAAAGGTGATTCTAATATATAACACAACATAATAATTGGAGAGATTTTATCAACCGTGGCGTGCTCCGCAATGGTCTCGCTAAGAATGTTCTCCCAGCTGCTGACTGCAACCGTAGAATATTACGCGTCGCACTATAGCGATCGCAGCCTGAGGCCTAGATAAAAAATATATTTATTTCATTTTAAAAATGAAAAAAATACGATTCGTAATTTGTTTCGTTTTAAATTTAGATCACGCAGCATAGCGTTGCAGTTTAACACGTAGGCTTTCGCGACCAATATCATCCATAATACAGGTTTTTTGGGGGATTAGATCGCGTAAATATCTGGATCCCACCTGATGATGCCAGTTGTAATACTGGCAAAACGTCGTACTCAGATTGTAAATGTTGTGGTTTTGCTCTCCAACACACCGGTGTGCTGTACTAGTAACGAATTGGCCACGTTCTGTTTACGTGACAAACCTTACTAATTGGCTTTGTCGGGTGGTGGCGGGTTTAATGACACATTTATATTTACGCAATCTAACCCAAATAGCTGTATTATGTAGCATATAATGTTTATTTTTGACTTGAACGCTCTACCGCTGGTACTAGTCATCGGCAAGTCCACTCAGCTCCACGTCCTCCTGTACCACATCACTCCATCTCTTCTCTAGCCCGTGCCGCGCCCGTTTAGCCCCCTCGATCCGGCCGAACATCTGTGGCTGGGCATGCGGGCTACATGACCCAGCCAACGCAGCCTTGCCTGCTGGAGGAGCTCACCGATGAGACCTTGTCCAGATCTTTCAAGGATTTGTGACCTCCTCAAGCAATTCAGCCTGGTTAAACCCAGGATGGACCGTAGGCAGGCCAGCCTAAATGTTTCTAACCGGCGAAGATGTTCCATTAGGTGGGTCCACGTTTCGCAAGCGTAGAGAAGGAAGGGAATGCCCGTGGCCGAGAAAACCTGAAGCTTCGTGCAGGGTGACATACCAGGTAGCTTCCACACAGCATTACGTAACCAATGAAAAGAAAATACCGCTCGACTGATTCGGAGTGAGACCTCTGCTGTCAAACCGGAGCCGGTCATTAGCACACTGCCCAGGTATGGGAAACTCTCCACTCTCTCCACAACTGCCCCATCACCAATTGTGAGTTGTGGGGGTGGAGTGTCCGATGGTACAACATACCCAGGCAGGTGCTTAGTTTTGGTGGGGCTGGTGGTAAGGCTCCACCTCTTAGTGGCAAGCTCCAGGTTCAGCAGCAACGCCTCCAACTCCTCCTCTGAATGAGCAGCAATTACCAGATCATCGGCATACATAACGTGGTTGAGGAATAGGGAGCCATCCCTTGACCGCACCCGGGCATCGATCAGCCTCCCATTGTATCTGTACCAAATGGAGATTCCCCCGGTACAGATATTGAAGGCTTCACGAACTACGTGGTCAAAATAGATGTTAAATAATGTGGGAGCCAGAGGACATCCCTGTCGCACCCCAAGGTGTACAGGGAATTACTCCGACTCCCGGCCACGTAGTGTTACCCGGGCCCGCTCACCATCATGAAGTTCCTTAATTATCGTGAGCAGAGGGTCAGGGACTCCGTACACACACTAATACACACACACACACACCGTGACACACACACACAGCGACACACACACACACAGCGACACACACACACGCGCGCTGCCGCAATGACACGCCCCCCCCCACCCCATGGCTGAGCGCTGTTAGGGACCCGGGGGTGTGTAACGCGATCCGGGATGTGTAACGGTGCCCCGCGGCTTCTCAGCCTCGCTGCCCAGTTCTGGCATTTGACAGATGCAGTGACGGTACCGGTCAGCCAGTCCGCGTGCAGAGAGGCGAGGTTGTGACGGTGGTGGTGGTGGTGGTGGCTGCGGTGAGGGCGACAGACCCCCCCCCCCTCCACCACCCCGCCGTGCGCGCGCACACACACACGCGCGCAGCGCACATGGACTGAATGTTCCAGTAGCTGTTGACCCTCTTCCCCTCTCCCTCTCTCCCTGCCGCTCTCTCCGAGCCAGTGGCTCTGTAAAGAAGTGGAGAGGTGGTGGCGGCAATTTAAAACCCCGCGCTGAAACTGCACACCGCGCGGCACTGTATAGCGGCGGACAGAAGACCCCCAAAGTGTGGCGCGCAGACGAAGCGGTTCGCGGACGACGCGGTGAGGGGGAGAGAGAGGAGACGCGTTTCCAAATAGAAATTTTGCGCTTTGGAAGTCAAAGGGGGTTGGGGGGGGGGTGTGCTGGTCACTGTTTACCAACCACCACCACAACAACAACAACAACAAAAACCTCTCCACCCACACCCAGCCACCCAGCTAACCCACCCCCGCCGCCGCCACCACCACTGCCCGAGCACCCGGAGTGAGACAGAGAGAGCTGTGAGCGTGCGGCAGCGGTCGCCGTCCTCGCGAGCGACGTGTAAGGTGGCGGCGGTCACCGGGAGAACCGCCGGTGACGCTTTGGCAGCAGTGGCCCGTCGGTGGCCGCGCTCATGGCCAGCTCGGCCCCTGCCAACGGTCTGCAGGGAGACCCTGAGATAGAGCTCTTTGTCAAGGTGAGTTGACGGCCAGTGTGGGTGGGTGCCACCGCTGTTGGATTCTCCGCGGAGAACCACGTCCGACTTGACAGCCGCGTGCGCCGGTTCGCTCGTTCGACAGGCCGGGCGTAATTTATTTAGGAGCAGGCGATGGGGGGTAGGGATTGGGGGGGGGGGGGGTGTCACGAGATACTTGGGAGTCCGTACGAGGAGGAGGAGGATGATAATGATGGTTATTGTTTTATAAACTTTGCGTTTGTCTGAATTTTCTCAGGTGTCACTCTTTCGGGGGGTGGGGAGATTTGGGCTCTGGCTCAACCCACGTCGTGAGTTGTGTGGCCGTGAGCACATTTCACATGCCCCCCCCCTCTCCCCACGGCATTTTGCTGCATCGCAGTAACAACGCAATGATAATAATGTCCCCGCAGTGTCGGAGTGCGCTTACGAGAGTTGTAACTTGGGGAAAATCGGTTCAGAAGGCGAAGTGCACTAACCACTAACCACAAAGCTCCACAGTTGTCTGCAGAGCAACGTCTTAGAGCAGGGGCGGGGAACCTTTTTTTTCTGGCAAGGGCCATTTGGATATTTATAACATCATTCGCGGGCCATGCAAAATTATCAACTTAAAAATTAGCCCGTTATTTTTGGTCAAACATTTAATTAACTCACCCCTAATGCGATGGCTGGAACTGATTCTCTTTGGCGAGGCGTGTGATGTTGTTAGCTGGTATTGATGATGTTGCTACTCGCAACTCCTTTTCCAGGTTTGCTCTACCTAGATTTGTTGAATTTCGAGTCCCGCCTGCGGTTGCCTTGGCAGGGCCAGACCCAAATGATTTCGCGGGGCCCTATACGGCCGCGGGCCGGACGTTTCCCACCCCTGTCTTAGAGCATGGGCGGCAGGCCTCATCAATGTATCTCATGAGATATATCTCTCTCGAGGTCATTTCACTCTCACGATCTACAACTTACTGTCAATGCACTGATTAATTGAGCCCCTCCCCCCCCCACCCCGTGTCGCTCACGTGGTTCGTTTGGCCATACTTCACCACGTTGGTCAGTGCGGGTGCGCCAGGGGACCGATTCGGATGTCACTCATCACTGATTTCACTGGTGGCCCGGCGTCGAAACTCGGGTGGCCAGGTTCATCGCGCAGCGTGGGAACCACCGCCGCCCCATCGCTCGCAATGATTCCGTTATGCGGCATCCCTTTCTCAACGCACACCCCGTTCATTGTTGAGCGCAGGGCAGGCCCGGCTCTAGTAGCTTCCTCTCGGATTGAACTGTTGGGGGGGGTGCCAGGGGAGGGGGGGGCAGTAGAACTGTTGCGTGGGGTGGGGGGCACCGTGACAGCGATTCACCACGAAGGAGGAGAGTAAACTTGGTTGGTGCCAACGGGACATTCGGTGGTGGTGCAGGGCCCAGCCCAGAAGCGGCCGCCCGAGCGCCAGCCAGCCCCTGGGCACGGGGTAGCGCTCCCATCACCATCGACGCTGTCGAGTCGGTGAAGGAAAGTTTTTGCCTAGCTGTGACCGGAGCCACCAGGTCTTCCTTGCAGGGGCGTCGCAACCGAGCGGCGTTGCCCGCAAGTGCTGGAAAATGTTACGCGCCCCGCTGAGACGATGACAGCGGCGATGATGAAGGTGCCGAGGCTGACCGCGATGAGCGACCCAAGACACGCAACTCGCTGAGCCCTCTTCTGGCCTACGGCTCATACAGTACAGCGTATTATGTATGTAAGTTGAACTTCTTTCGCACCTTGCGTAGCCAACCGTGCTAATCGGAGGCGCGGGGGAGGAAGACAACAAATTCAACACAAAAAGCAGTTCTAATTAACTAACTTTTCAATGTAGATTTAAAAGTGAAAAGCTCCAGTGGCTTCCTAATATCGGAAGGAAGAGCGTTCCAGACGGCCGCAGAAGAGCATCTGAAAGCGCCACGCGATGCGGTGACCACCGTCTTTGTTCGATGGCCCAGCAGCCAAAAGCCACTGCTGCTGCGAGGATGACCAGAGCTCACGTGATGGTTTATGCTCCTTGACGAGATCAGCGAGGTACTGTGGTTCATTTGTGGCGAGCAATTTGTGTGTGTAATGAGTGCGACCATATCATGCATTCGTCCGACGACCAGAAGCCAACTTATCGTGGATTCGTATAGCGTCTTCATCTCAACAGAAACGGTGGGCGGATTTATTTTTAGAGAGAGAGAAAAACAGTTGGTCATAGGCAGGACTTGAATAGGGACAGCACGGATGAGTGGAGTTCCAGACAATAGGAGCAGCAGAGGAGAATGAGCGACCTCCTACCGAGCAAAACGTTGACTGGAGGCTTCGATGGAAAGCCTTGGTCGCTGGCGCTTACCCCACTGATGTTTATTCTTTTCATGAATACTTATCATCACGATTGGTCCTCTTTAATCAACACATCTAATCAGATTCGGAGCAGTTGGTACTGGTCCCACTGTGGTGCAATGCTGTTGATATTTTCCCAACTCCTCCGGATTACATCTCGCCAACAACGTGTCCGTGTGTTTCACTCTGCACGCGCGTGTCCCCTCTGGGCCGAGATGCCGTGCTTTAGCTGTTCCTTGCGTAATTTTCCGACCGCATGCACACGCGCGCGCCTGTTTTGATGCGCGGCACGTTGCTCATTTTATTTTGATGGCGACCCAGGACGAAGAGGGCCACAATGGACCCCGTTGGTTTTGTTTGCCTCAAGCACAGAGGCCGAGTGCCCTTCGTTGTTGTTGTTTGAAACTCCGGCCTGAAACTTTATTTTTCCTGTTCCCACGAATTATTCCTCGTCGTTTTTTTAACGCACGCGATTGTTCTGGTAGGCGAGTCGTCTCAAGAAGTAATTGCGTCGTCATGCGTTCGCGTCTCTGCGTGTTGAAATCTTCACACTTTTGACACGTTACTGTCAGTGTGTGCCCTGTTATTTGTTGGGCGAGTTGGAGTGGGGGGGGGGTAGGTAGGTGGGGGGGGGGGGGTGCACGCTGTCAAGCCGATCAGCTGGCACAGATTCACACATTTTTCGCAGAGCCTCTGTGACAAATGAGATGTGCGCCAAAACCCCTACAGCTGTCCATTGCGTTACAACGAATCATTGTGTGTACCACTGATCTCTGTGTTGCCACTGATCTCTGTGTACCACTGATCTCTGTGTTGCCACTGATCTCTGTGTACCACTGATCTCTGTGTTGCCATTGATCTCTGTGTACCACTGATCCCTGTGTACCACTGATCTCTGTGTTGCCACTGATCTCTGTGTTGCACACTGATCTCTGTGTTGCCACTGATATCTGTGTTGCACACTAATCTCTGTGTTGCCACTGATCTCTGTGTACCACTAATCTCTGTGTTGTCACTGATCTCTGTGTTGCAACTGATCTCTGTGTTGCACACTGATCTCTGTGTGTACCACTAATCTCTGTGTTGCCACTGATCTGTGTGCTGCCACTGATCTCTGTGTTGCACACTGATCTCTGTGTTGCCACTGATATCTGTGTTGCCACTGATCTCTGTGTTGCCACTGATCTCTGTGTTGCCACTGATCTCTGTGTTGCCACTGATCTCTGTGTTGCCACTGATATCTGTGTAGCACACTAATCTCTGTGTTGCCACTGATCTCTGTGTACCACTAATCTCTGTGTTGTCACTGATCTCTGTGTTGCAACTGATCTCTGTGTTGCACACTGATCTCTGTGTGTACCACTAATCTCTGTGTTGCCACTGATCTGTGTGCTGCCACTGATCTCTGTGTTGCACACTGATCTCTGTGTTGCCACTGATCTCTGTGTGTACCACTAATCTCTGTGTTGCCACTGATCTCTGTGTTGCCACTAATCTCTGTGTTGCCACTGATCTCTGTGTTGCCACTGATCTCTGTGTTGCCACTGATCTCTGTGTTGCCACTGATCTCTGTGTTGCCACTGATCTCTGTGTTGCCACTGATCCCTGTGTTGCCACTGATCTCTGTGTTGCCACTGATCTCTGTGTTGCCACTGATCTCTGTGTTGCCACTGACCTGTGTGCTGCCATTGTCCCCTCACCACACATTATGATTGCCTTAGCCCCATTAAAATCGCAGGTTGCCGTGCTAGATATTGGGGTGCATTCATTTAAAAACGTGTAACCGTCTTAAATAAGACCAAAAAAAGCTCTAAATCACGTGCAATGTGTTTTTTTTTACTAAGCCCTACTTTTGGTCAAATTTACGTAGTTGAAATGATAATAATTTGTACTTATAAGGTGCCTTTCACAAAAAGGTATTAAAGCGCCCTGAATGAAAAGGAAGAAAGAAAATAATCGAGAACCGGGTGGCAGCATTAGAGGCAAATACACAACAAATGGTTAAAACCTGTTTTATTTTTTATTTTACAACGTGAGTTTCTAATCGGCACTCAAATATATCAACACTGTTCGAGAACCTGAACATTCCACAACCTAGAAAGTTTAAGCAGTAGCTGTCTTCAAGGGACGGCTGTTTCCGTTGACGAATATCAGGCGTATTCGAAAATATCAGGCGTATTAGAACATACACAAGCCACAGTGTGGCTGTGGCCATGAAATCCAAACTACGGACCATATAGTAAACCACTGTGGTCTACGTTCCTTCAACGGAGGAGGGAGGAGGAACAGCGAAACTAACACAAACTCTCCCCTGAAGCCCCCTTCGTAAATGCTGGCAGATTTTGACATTGGCATCTAAGCTCCTGAACACGAGAATAACATCAATGTCATCTGAGGTGACTCAACTGTGTCTCAATTCAGAATTCAATCCTTGTCGCAACCCCATTTCTTGGAATTGAGTGAGGCTGTCACCCTCTGTTAAATGGGTATTCCTCTTGGTCCCTAAAACAGTCGTGTGACACACACACACACACCTAGCATCGTTTGATTGAAATCTATTGAGTTGATTGGGTATTCCATCTTCACACTTCAGGCAGGCAAAGTAAATACGCACGTGTGCATGGCGCATACCATTGAGGTTTGCCCAGGGTTTATTTCATGATTCAAA